TCACTCCTTGGCCAGAGTATACTTGCAGAGTAATTTCAATCTTCTTATTTAATGAAGGCCAGCGCTTAGACCCTGTTACAGAAGTACAATACATACATGTAATGACCACTCATTATTAAAATGGTGATTCATTCAGTGAAAAATTTAGTCCAAGACAACTGATCTTTTAAAATTCTTTATATTGTGAACTTGATACTCCTGATGTTTTAAATGTAAGACATATACAGTCTCGATCAAAAGTTTAAGACCAATTGAAAAATGGCAAAAAATCATATTTTGCATGTCTGGCTCTTAACAAGGTTCCAAGTAGAGCTTCAGCATGCAACAAGAAGAAATGGGATTGAGACAAAACATTTTTTGAGCATGTAATCTATAGAAAACTACACTTAAACTGAAACAGGCTGTTTTGCAGCTGATCAAAAGTTAAGGACCACACCTCCAAAAGAACCCCCGTAAACCCCCCAAAACAGAAATCAAAGTTCCAAGCATGAACTCAGTAATGAGTAGCTCCACCATTATTGTTGATCACTTCAAAAATTTGTTGCAGCATGCTTGATGCAAGTGAGTGGGAACATTTCTCCAAGTGGTGAAGACAGCCACACGAAGGGCATCTACTGTCTTCCACTGAAGGAAAAAGCACCCCAGACCATTATGGTGCCCCCTCCACTGTGGCGAAACCACAGTGGAGGGGGAGAAAACATCTCAGGTGACATCTGGTTGTCATGCCAGTAACAATGGAAACCATCAGGACCATCAAGGTTAAATTTGTTCTCATCAGAGAATAAAACTTTCTTCCACCTTTCAGTGTCCCATGTTTGGTGCTCTCTTGCGAAGTCCAAGCAGTCAGTTCTGTGGTGTTCAAGTATAACGCTACAGAACTTTGGAGCCTTTTGAAGACGTTTTTTTGTTTTTGAACCCCTTCAGTCTCAGACGCAGTCTGATGGTTATGGGGCTGCAGTCGGCACTAGTAACTGCCTTAATTTGGGTCGAGGATTGTCCAGAGTCTTGATGAACAGCCAACTGGATCCTCCTGGTCAGTGTTGGTGAATTTCTTTTGTGTCTTACACTTGACTTTTTTGTTCCATAACCCCCAGGATCATCTGAGAAATTCCAAATGACTGTCTTACTGCGTCCCACCTCAACAGCGATGGCGCGCTGTTAGAGACCCTGCTTATGCAGTTTAACAACCCGACCATATTCAAAAAGGGAAAGAGTTTTTTTGCCTTTGCCATCAGAATGTCATGACAGTGTGACTACCTGACAGAAAATGACAATGAATCCAGATTTTTGCACAGATTTGGCCTTTTAAAAGCATGTGGTCCTAAACTTTTGATCTGCTTGAGAAAAGCCTGTTTCAGTTTAAGAGTTGTTTTTAATAAATTGCCTGCTCAAAAAAATGTTTTGTCTCACTCCCATTTCTCCTTGTTGCATGTTGAAGCTCTACTTGGAACCTTCTTAAACTTCTGATCGGGACTCTATGTTGCTCAGTTATGTGAATTGTATGTCCAAGTCTTGTAGGCCTTCTTTAATGACAAAATGAGCCATTTTTGAAAAATTAAGTGCGGTGGCTGGTAATAAGGAGGTACACCTCTGCTGAAGTGTTTCAGGAAAATAAGATGCACTACGCATTGTCCTGGGGGCAACAACAGCTTCTTGCAACCTTCAGAAAATCTCAATCTAGATGTGGATGAGCTATTTTAAATGTTTGTTTTCAAACTCACTGCAAGTAAAACAGAAATTAGCCCTGGCTCTATCCAAACCACTTTATATGTTAAAATGGACAGACAAAGACTTTTGGAAACTTTGACACAGGCACCCATGTTTTCTTCTTGATTGTGTCTTTTAGTAACATTGACTCTTCTAAGAAGTAACCTTCTGCTTAACACCAGCTCATGGCTTTCTACCATTTGCAAATGGTCCTGTAATTTCACTCACTTTTTTTGCCTTGTGACTGTGGACGGGCTATATTTCTGAAGCTCTGTTAAACTAATGTGAAAATGTATTGATGAAGACAGGTCTCATCGCCTGCATATCCATAAGCTGTGGAGTTGTGAAGCTGTGGATAATGATCCATTTAGGAGATTCATCCATTACTTCTAACTGCTGAGTTTCCAGAAGCCTAAACAAACCAGTTTGTACTATAAGGATAAATATGTCAGTAA